TCAACCCACTTCTATAAATCGAAATGAGACTCATCCGACGCATTTTTGGAAAAAGTTTAGTACAAGTCCTCTAAAAGTCCTGCAATCATATATGCCTGCAGGTTCATGAACCGGAAATGAGTTCGGTGGTAGCTGTTTCCTTACATAAATAAACTAGCGTACGATCCTTTATTGTCGAGTCTTTTTCATGTATATGCTATTGTCCATCGTGTGTATGTTATCATAATATCATGAGATGTGTAATAGTCTTAGAAAGATTTGAGGCTAATCAAACCTGCTCAATCGCCCTTCCTGCTCCCTTCTCTACTTATGCCTATCCAACAGCCATAAATAGTTCCTATTCGTTTTCCTACACTCGTTTCTTTATTTGATTTTAACTGTTTTGTTACTTTCTATAAGCTCCCCAATCTTACTCTTTGACGTGAAGTCCCCGTAACCAGCAAAAATTTATGTTTTGGACCAGTCTGCTGAGTGCCCTGTGTTAGCCATGTGTTAAGCGAGTTTAGATTTTTGGACTCATACACCTTTACAAGTGGTTTTGTCTTCGAAATATCTTTTCTGGATTGGTCGGCAGGTTTCTCTTAAGTAGTAGACATTGCCACCTGAGCGAAAACGTAATAACAGCCTGATCTAGATAGAGTGCCAGAAAATTCTTGAAAGAAGATTTTAATTTCTCTTTATGTACTGTTCTCATGTTCCACTTCCTCAGTAGGTCACCCAACTTTTTCGAAAGCTGACAGTAAGCCAAAATCAGCAGCCGAGTAGTGTCCATCTGTCTACCCCGCCACAAATAGCAATCTCCCTAGATCTTCCGATTTCCTTTCGGCCAACATTTGGGGATCATCGTACGCTAGCCTATTTCTGTAAGGAAACAGCTGCTGCATGTAGCATACATTTGAGTTGGCCAACCAAATAATGGGATGCCCTATTAAAACCGCAAGGGTTTGTGGCTTGAATGTGACTAGGTTTATAGCCGATCACCTTTTCTCTTGGTTTAATTTATTTTTAGCGATATTATGTCAAGTATGGATTCTCGCCCTGATGGTATCTTTCACAGTTCAGACGAAACTAGCATAGATTCATTGGGATCACAGAGGACTTCTTCGAACAGTAGAACTGCGGCAATCCTCCTTCGGTTTCTGATTAGACCATTTCATTAATTCCTTCCAACCAACTTTTTCTTCAAAATGGAAACTCATATAATAATAAATCACTTAGGAATTTTTTGCAACCCAGTTCTTCATATCCTTGATTACTAGTGAATTTCTCTGTTATATAATTGCACTTGCGAAAGAATCCCTCTTCAGTATTGCAAGTTATTTTGTTGGTTGACGCAGAGTTAATGGGCTATCCTTCAATGAATGAATCAATTCATTGATTTTTTTTCTAGTTTACCTGAGTGTAGAATCTTTAATTCCTCTCTTATATCGACAATTTTTTTGGAAAATCAAAAAAGTATCACTCCGGCAAATATTTGGCGACTTCGATGGCAAAATTGTGGTGCCAATTCTATTTTGACTCAGTCTCTAGCCTGAACAAGATAGATTATAAATTTACCACGGCATTAGCTTTGAAAGCGCTCGTCTGCTTTTATAACTGGTCTGGAATACTGCAAATCGTAGTTGCAGCTTGAATTTTCCTTCTACACACATTCAAGTTGAAAATATACCTGAGTCTAATTTAAAAATAGAAATCTTACTGATTCCGCTTTTGATGGCTCTTGTTACAACTTAATAACATTTTTACTGGAATCAGCGTTTATTTTAGTCTGACGATCCTGTACTTTTGCTCACCACTTTCGGGAAATATGCTGGGTTATTTCTATGTTTCCATAGAGGACCAAAAATATTTAATATGGATAGATCACGACGGTAGAATTTATTTTCATCCTTCATACTTTAGGATTGATAAGCCTTTTTTATTCATTGTTTTAACTATTTCTCCTTGGTTTTGCTATAAGTTTAGTACATTTGAGGTTTCGCTTTGTAGATACATTTGCTGTTTACTACCTCAGATTTTGCAGATTCTTTAGATATGCCTATCACTAATTTACTATTTCTCGTCTATATGAGTTACGGAATGATTTTGACTTTGATTCTTTGATTAATTTATTTTTTATTTGATAAAGAATCGTGATACTGTGATGCCCTCATGCTTTGTATGAATTTGATTTGCCAATATGGTAGAAATATTTGATAACTGCTAATGAAAGTGAAATAAAGTTGCCGAACTTTCAGACCCCCTTTGGCAAGCATTATCTTACCTTTTATTAACTCAGCCGACATATTTTTGGTAATAGTTTAGTACAAGTCCTCCAGAAGTCATATATATTTATTCATTTAAAAATTTTTCGACAGCTTTATACGACTAATAAAATATGCTTTCTTATTAGACAGTAGATAGAAAGACCAAGATAGTGTGACCTTAAGTTCGATCTTAGTCTTCTTTAGCTGCATAGTATTGCTTCGGCCTCGTTTTCGCAACTTGATTGAAGCGACAGGGAGAACTCGTGAAACGTATCTAGTCCGGCGTTATTTGCTAGATACATTCCATGAGTTCTCCCTGTCATTCTGACCAAGTTGAGAAGGCGAACTCAAATCAACACTATATCTTCCTTTACTTATATATTCGTACTCAATGCGGAGTAGAGCTATGTTGTAGAGTTCTATCATTGATTTGTATGCCTGCAGCTTAAAATGGTATATGTGAAAACATTTCTGGGTTAATATCTCTAAAAATGATCCTAAAAATTTTAAATCTAATACATGCACTATTTTGTAGGTACCTTCGTTTCTATTTATTCAAACTGTTTGCCGGCGCCTTTCCCTCATCCTCAAACGAGTTGGTATCTGGGGCCCACATCGGTCGTAATGTTGCTAGTGGCGCAATTTCTGCCTCTGGCGATGCTAGTGCAACAGGAACTGTTGGAAGCTGCATGGGTAATGAGACTCCTACTAGTTGTGGTGGAGGGAGTTGCAGCAGTAGTAGCAGCCTCGGCTCCACTTCCTTATGGCTCCCAACAATCCGCGTAATGCCACCTCGAGTTCCGCTTGCCTCTCACAGGCAGCTAACCAGCATCGCTCGTCTCATTTTGATAGCCCAGAGACCAGTTCTTGTGCTGGGAAGTCAATTGATTCTACCGCCCGTCCCCATCGAAGAAACAGCTGCCAACGTCAAGGTAGAGCTAAGCTAGTTGCTTTACATGGTCTATTACTTAACTGTTAGGGGTGCTACGTCAGTACTACTTTTATATAATGGAGGCTAAGTAATTTAACCAATGAATTCGTTAGTGCATCATTCATTATGACCACTGTTGAAAAATACTTTTGTTAATTCACTAGAGTATGAAATCTTAACTTACAGCTCTTTATAGCAAAGCATTATTTTGGATGCAGGAATTTTCACACCGAAAAAGGACAAGTA